CTTTTTTTTTTTTAGCTGAGCTATCCTGCCACCTGTTGGCAGCTCAGCAGCAGTGGCAGCTCAGCTCGGGCCGGGAGTCGAACCGGTGACCCTGTAGCTCAGAGCTTGCACTCTTGAGTGAGCTGTTAACCAACTGAGCCACTGGGCTGCCCCTAACTCCTGTTTTTTAATGTTTCCTCATCTTCCAACTGATCTTTCTTCAGATACCTTAATTTCATTTATCCTGCACCTCCAGGGGTCTCACTAATTCAGCCAGGTCTCACTAATTCTTCCATTCCAGAGAAATGGAAGAAACTTTTCAGGCTCTCAATCCCATGATAATTGTCTAGAATGAATTTTCTATAATCACATTCTCAAAACATCTTATTGTTTAGGTCTTCCCATGTCTTAGTATATCCCATGTTTACTATCTCTGTTTATGAGTTCACACATTTGAAAATTGCCAGTGACGATAGGAGTCATAAGGATTTGCAGACAGTGGGACTGTTCAAAAATATTGCAGTTTCCTCCTTCCAATAACATAGTAGGACTGCAGTTCCCTACCTCCTTGAAGGAAGAGATGATCATTTGACTTACTTGACTAATGAATGAAAAAAGTGGAAGTGATATGTGACACTTAGAGAGATGGGAGTTTTTAAATGCCAGGCCTGATTAGCCACACTCACTTTCCCTCCATCACAGGATCTGGCTATGTTCCAGGCAGTAGAGACTTTATCACTCATCAGTCTTGGTCCACAAGCTCATGAAGCAGATTCCATTGCACAAACGTCATGTGTGTGAGAAATACCCCCCAGTTGTCTTAAGCCACTGAGCTTTTGCCGTTATTTACGTATGGACCAAAACCCCACCCATTCTCACTAATACGGACATGAAAATCTCTAGAGCGTCGCTTGATGACGTCTGGTTTTCTTTAGTTTGGAAGTGTTCCAGATTCATCATCTATAAAATAAGATGGTTGGATCAGAAGATACTTAAGTTTCTTCTAAACCATAAGTTATATGGCTACTTTTACTGATGACTTTCCTGAACTCTGCCTTTCAGATGATGTCCATATTGATGAATCTGTGTTTTCATTCAGGAGCCTGTTCAGATGAATTCTCAACACTTGAGTGATTTGATTGTGGGGTACTCCATTTTGGAGATCTTTTGAATACAGAACTGGTTTTTTAATAGTATAAAAGATGATTCTCAGACAATGTCTTTACTATGTTTACAAGAGATTTTTTTTCCCTAGAGTTTTGAGCTTATAGAAACAGAGTTCAGTCAAACAACTTTTTTGTAGGAAATAGTATGTAAAACTAAAAGCTATTTCTGGCACTGTGAAGAGAAAAAAATGTCTATCTAACTACTGAAAAAAATATTGAGAAAGGTAAACAATGGCTCATGGAGCTCATGGTAGCAACACTGAAATACTTAGGGAGGAAGAAAACATCCTCATGAGAAGTAAAATATCTACTATCAGGAATTACTGCAAAACAATGTTTATACTAAGTGTATCAATTACCAACCAGAGAAATATGTTCATGAGTGACAACTATTCCAAGTAGAAATTATCACTCATCATTAAGTTTTATTAATTAGCCAAGCAAATGAAAGGAAGAATGGCACTGCTGAATCTTCTACTTCCTTATTTCTCATGTGTTCATATTAAAATCTCAATACATTCCTCACTAAGGATAACATATGGAACGACTAAATTTCAGGTATTAATTCAAAGCCATTTTTCTCTCTACTATCTCAGGATACAAAATACAGCTGAGAACAAAATTAGAGCATAAAACACAGCCTTTTCTCCCCTGAGCTCAAATAACAGACTTGCAGCCAAATGGAATTTTGCCAAACTTTCTAAAATGAGTAACACTGTGTGAGCACTGTTCCCTTGGGAACTGTAAGAAAATGAGATGTCTATCACAAAGGGTTCTCCAAGAAAAACTGAAAGAAATGGGCATTTCTCTTGACCTAGAGACAAATGCAGAAAATTACAAACACCTAAGAACAGCTTAAACAAAAAAACTTGAATTTTCCCCAGATGTGATAATAAAAGATATTAAAATTGATTCAATATATATTATTCATTATTTTAACACTTATTGATTGTATGTAAGGTGCCAAGAACTGTGCTAGATGCTTTCACATGAACTGTATCATTTGGGTAAGAACTCTGCAAAATACAGATTAATTTATAGATGAATGGCTTACCTAAAGTCATGCAACTAATAGGGCCCTTTATTCAAGAGGTGTTTATTAAGGGTCCACTACATGTCAGCACTTTTCTATGCACTAGGGCGCATCATTAATATTTGGGGTCCAAGGATAAGATTACAAATTGAGACCCCTATACCATGTCTCTAAATATAGTCAGGTGTCACATAACAACAGTTCAGTCAACGATGGACCACATATATGACAGTGGTCCCATAGATTATAATGGAGCTGAGAAATCCCTGTCACCTAGTAACATCAAAGCTGTCCTAACTTCATAACACGATGTATTACTCATATATTTGTGGTGATGCTGATGAAAAGAAACCTACTGCACTTCCAGTGATATTAAAGTATAGCACATACAATTATGTACAGTACATAATGTTTGATAATGATAATAAATGACTATGTTACTGGTTTATGTATTTACTATTGATATATTATACTTTTATTGTTATTTTAGAGTAAACTCTTTCTACTTGTTAAAAAAAAAGTTTGTTAACTGACTCTGGGTGGTGTGCACACAATGTGATATATAGATGATGTATTACAGAATTGTACACCTGAAACCTATGTAATTTTACTAACCATTGTCATTCCAATAAACATTAATAAAAATAAATCAATAAATACAAAAGTTTGTTGTAAGACAGTATGCCGTGTTATGCCAGCTGTAGTCTCATACGTCTCCTGTTTACTGGGTCTCTTGATTGCATCCTTTTCTCTTGTGCTTGACTTAATTTCATGTTGTTTTGTACAGTAACGTGCTGCACAGCTTTGTAGCCTAGGAGCAATAGGCTATACCATATAGCTTAGGTGTGTAATAGGCTGTACCATCTAGGTTTGTGTAAGTGCATTCTATAATCCTCCTACAACAACAAAACCACCTAACTACGATGACTTCTCAGAACATATTCCTGTCGTTAAAGGGCACATGACTGTATTTAAAATTATAAAGAGGGGTCCAGATGTTATTGACTCAGGAGAGCCAACTGCATGCGTCTCTTCCCAAATTCACATTCAGTAATGTTGCATTGGCAGCTTGGAATTGGTCGTGGCAGAAGTATTTACAGCATGACAAATGGCAAACACTACCAATTGGGTCATTGTTGTTTTTGCAGAGAGCCTCTTGTTAAACAACTACCAGCAACACATCATGGCATATAACAACCTAATTGGTGAATCAAATATGCTCTATCCCCAACCTTAAAAAAACATGTCTTTGTAATATCCTAGAAGACCGAGTGTGAATTTAGAATTCCTCTATTCTTTGTTGTTCCACACCAAAATTTGGCAGGGAGTGGAGAGAACCAATCCCTAGACTCTAGCCCCCAGCCTGCAGCCTGAGGCCCACAGTTCTCTCCACTTCTCATCGCATTTCAACATTTATCCTGCAGCAGAAGAGAGATCATGTGGACACTGCAGAACACACATCTAAGCTTCCTTTATCTATACACCACACACACATAGAGAGCTGCCTCAAGATCACCTCTTAAGACCAGGGGGCAGTACAAGCTCAGTGGCCTGAAGAAAGAATAGCGAAAACTCACACAGACTCTGGAAGCAGACACAAGTCTTTGAAGACCTGAAACTTCAGGGCCTGACTTGCAGAGCATTATCTAGAAAGGAGGGCTGATGCAGGCTCTGGGTGGGTCCCTTGGTCCTGTAAATAAATCACTATGGAGAATGGTACAGCCAGAGTAGAGCTCCCTAAAGCCCAGGGCACAGGGCAGAGGCCTGTATTGCCTTAAAATGGGACCGAATACAGAAATCCCAAAGCTTTCGTGGAGGTCATGTTCCAGTAGGAGAAGCTATAATAGTTTAAATATTAAATATTTAAATACTTAAGACAAATTGTTTTCAACCTCACATTGGCTTAGTACCACCCATCTTTTCAGCCCAAGGAAAATAATATTAATCATTACCATTTATTGACAGCTTATTGCTTACTCAGAAATCACTAAGTTCTTGGAGACTGAACAGCTAAAAATTCAGAGCTTGGCTATTGATTGCAGTTTGCAAAATGATTACTAGTATTTATCATAATAGTTTTTGTTATGGGAAGGACTCAGGGCAGCTTCCTGCTCAGTGCGAGTATTATTAATACTTCTACCTACCCAGCTGAGTCCTTTTGCAAATTCTGGACTAGGCTTGCTCCTTGCTCATGGGTTCTGTCACCATGGGTAATAAAAGCACTGTCATTACCTGAGGATTAAAAACACATGGGCACAGAGAGCTGGTTGTTCATGTTTACCAGCATACCACTGGGTTACAAGTATATGCAGTAAATACTTTCCTATAGGCCAAACAAAAATCATTAACAGTAATTACATTTACAGAAAGGATTTGGAATGAGGGAGAGAAAAGATGTACTCGTCCTTTAATAGCTTTCTATAATTTCCCTAATAATGTGAAGGCAGTGGTATTATGGGCTATTTTCATTCTGTTCCTTATATAAAACTATATACAAACTATTATTTTCAGTATCATGAAACACTTTTGTGTGCTTAAATGATATGAAATTTTAAACCTTTATATAACTATCAAAATCGAATAGAACAGAACACTACCATCTATCAACTGTTTATACGGGAAGTATCATTGGCAAATCCTACTATTTTTCCTTCTTCAAAATAGGAAACGGTGTAAGCAGCAGAATCTTTCCATAGGTAGTAGATTTCACTGAAGCTAAATAGTTCTGCCATCTATAATACCTTCTTTTGCCCGGGACTGCTCCATGAACACTACTGTATGCTGAAAGTGATACAATATCAGTCTGCGGCCACTGGACTCACCAGGCTCCAGTGGCTTCATCCTCTGGAAACCTCAGCCACCATCAAATCTCCAAGTGATGGGTGGACCTAGAGGGTATAATGTTCAGTAAAATAAGTCAGACAGAGAAAGACAAACACCATATGATTTTACTTATACATGGAATCTAAAAAAAATGAAACAAATAAAACAGAAACAAACTCACACAGATACAGAGAACAAACTGATGGCTCCCAGATGGGAAGGGGCTCTGTGTGTGTGTGGGGGGGGGGTGAAGAATGAGTAAAATAGGTGAAGGAGATTAAGAGGTACAAACTGTCAGTTATACAATTAATCACCAGACAACAATGCACATCATAGGAAATACAGTCAATAATATTGTAATGACTATGTATGGTGACAGATGGGTACTAGATCCATCATGGTGATCACTTCACGAAGTATATAAATGTTTAATCACTATGTTGTATACTTGAAAGTAATGCAATATTGTATGTCATATAATTTTAAAATTTAAAAAATTTATTTTTTTTAAAGATTTTTATTGGGGAATTGGGGGATGGGAACAGCACTGGGGAATTGGGGGAAGGGGAGCAGACAAGTTGTTGTCCTTTTGTTCTTCAGTCTAGTTGTGGAGGAGGTTGCTTCACTGGCCCAAGTTGGCACCATCATTGCGCTCTTTCCGGGTGAGGCAGATCGGTCGCCGGCCTCTGGACGGCCGCTCACAGGGACTGCTGGCAGCTCACGCTGGCTGCTGGCTACATACGGTAGCCCATGGCAACCCACTGCCACAGGGACTGCAGCCTATGCCGTTGCCGGCGACCCACGG